AGTTAGGGCTAAATTGTTTTTTTTGATTTCACTAGGAACCAACCACTTCACAGACTAGGCAAAGATTATAAGGTACCTGGAAGGACTTCATTCTACATTAGAGAGAGTTGGGGGAAGAGATGAGGAGGTAAGAATTTCATCTCTTGAAATATAATGCAGGGAAGGTCAGATGCAACAACGTATGCTAGTCTCTAGAAATCTTTGAGCATATCAGAAAGGCAACTCCCAAATACCTGTCAGTGTAGGCAGGAGCACTGCATCTTTAAATAAAAAGAGATCTGCATGGTTATCATCTAGAAGTCCTCCCACATGCCTCCAATTATTAAAAAGTGTTTAGTGCAAAAACACAAAATTGCAAAAAACCTCTAAAAAGTGCTTTGGAGAGGCAAAGGGGCATCAAGTTCATTGGTCCCCTTTGTTTGATGTTTCAGTAAAAATCCAGTTTGGCCTGCACTGTCTTACAGCCTTTATCGGAGTAGATTTTCTCTCCTTTCGGGAAGAAGGTCATCTCATCAGCCACTTTCTTAACAACTTCCTCATCAATTCCGTTGCCGCGGGACTGGATTTCTGCCCTGATGCACATCTTCACATGTTTGTACTCCAAAGGCAGGAACGGGACAAAGTAATCAATGAGATTTTTGTCGATCAGGCTGCTGTGCCACAAGCCACCTAGGAAACAGCAGGCAGGGGAGAAGTGAAGCTCCTTTGTGCCCTATACAGCAATGTCTCTGTCACTGTTTTCTGGGCAGGAAGAGTTTAAGGAATTGAAATGTGAATCCAGTTCATGGACCACATCCCCCTACTGCTTCCAGACACACTGAGCTTACATATCTGTCTATACCACTAGGCACATTGATTCAAACCTGTCCTCTATAATGGTGCTAGCTAGTACCAAGGATAGAGCAGGAACAGTTTGAATCTTGGGCAGTCTGCCAGTGCACTTCAAGCCTGACTTGCAGTACTTTCTAGCCCAGCTGGACATCTTCAATTTTACTGAACTATTAAGTGGTTAGGTGGGCAACTAAGGCAATGGCAGGAACCGACTACATGCTTTCTGCTTGGAACCTAGGCCAGGTTATAAAGAGATCAGTCTAAAAAGGTGAATGGATTGTGAATGTTTCCCAGGGCCCAGAAACTTAAAGCTTGTGTCTAGGGAAGAAACAGCCACTTCGCTTTGTAAGGGCCTGACCCTGGGAAATGCTAAACAGTAAGCATGTGCAGGAATCAGGTGCTGGGCAAAGCCCGCTCCCTGAGTCGGAGCCAGATGAGAGCGCTTGTATCACGGGATCCAGCAACCTTTAGAGGCAAGCTGGAGCAGCAGACATTAAAAACCTCATGTGGAACAATGACTGCCTACATTTACAAAGGCAAAAACCATACCCTTCAAGGGAAAGTAACTCACTATTCTTATTATTGAAGACTCCCAGAGACAATATTTGTTCCAGGTCTTTCAGGAGTATCTGCTCCCTGTCTTTTCCGTTTCTCCAGAAGTCTAAAGCCACCTTGGTAATGAGGTCACCACCTGCATTGCTGTTCATAAAAGGAACAAACAGTTTACAACAGATCAAGCCTGGAGGAAACCAACATTCCCTCTCTAGCAGAATTACCTTTATCTGCATAAGAATTTCCACATCGTCACAACAAAAAGCCTTCAACCAATGCAGAAGCTTTTAGGGACTTCCCATTCTTTCAACTTAGGCTGGTTGCACCCAAGTCGTAACAAAATCATCTTGAACCATCCAAGGGTTGTGAAACGGTCTCTTCACTCTCTGGTAGTAAAGCTCAATACCAATACAACACTCCCAGCATAGGAAATAAGGGACTGAACTCAGGATCTGAGTTCTGATCCTCCATATAACAGGGTGTCTGTTGTCACTGGACTACCACCATGGCTCACTTTAAGGTAGTAAGTGCTGTGAACTGCAGGGCCTGATACAAACAACTTATGGACATGCTTTTGTAGTTTAGGAGGAAGGATTTGGGCTCTTGGACCAGGAAAACCTGGGCGCTGTCTCTCTCTCAGCTGGTAATTCTGACTGACCAAGACACACCTCAGCATGACAGCAAAGTTCACAGGAGAGCATGGGTTTGCTGCAGTACCTTAGAGTTACTGAAAAAGGGCTACAAACCTAAGGAAGATGAAGATGGCCTTCCGGTAAGACACGCCATCAATCTGGTCATAGTAGTCTAAGAAAGGCTTGATGGCATCAATGAGGCCAGGGTGCAATTTATCCATTTCATCAAATATGAAAACAGAGCTGGCACAGGCACTCACATTGCCTCGAATCCACTTATGTAATTGGTCCTGGAGCACAAAAGAAGGGTACAGCGGAAAAATCAGGTCTTGCGGTTGGAGGGTATACAAGTTACACATGTGCATACACGAAGATCAGTAAGGAAGGAAGCATCACCTGAGCTATATTTAGCAAGTATCCAGAAGCCAGAATGTGAATCTCACCCCTATTATTTGATGATGTTCACCATACAGCATTTTCTTTCTGTTAAATGGTCAAACCTTGAATATCAGCACTCCAATGGAAAGGTTGGGAGAAGAACCCAAGCATGGGACGAGAAAATATTTCTTCTTGTTTAAAAGAAAAAGAGAACCAGTCTGTGGGAAGTTACATTTTTAATTGTTAAAGTTGATGGGCCTGAAATCTGTGATTGTTCTCATGAAAACTTGCTGGGAAGAGAATTATTTTATAAATCTGAACATGACCACCCCTGGCCTTTGGCTTGTTTAGCATTAACTAGGGTAATTTATTTCATAACACCAAATACTATAAAAATGGAGGTGGGGCAGCAGAGTGAAGGCAGGAGACAAATAGTAGGAGGAAGTAATTTCAGCTCTTATTACAGGTCATTAACAAAGTGTCCCTTTCACTTCCTTTTCTTGGAACTTAACGCAGTGCCTTTTGGTTTTCATTCAGCTCTAGGAACACAAGAGGCGACACGTTTAGCCTCTACCTCAGGGGCGGGCAATTATTTTGGGCGGAGGGCCGCTACTGAGTTTTGGCAAGCCATTGAGGGGTACATGACAGGCAGCCCAGGACAGATAAATATTAATTTTCTAAATTTTTTAGGGGCCCCGTGGGCTGGATAGAACGGCCTGGGGGGCCGCATCCAGCCCCCAGGCCGCATTTTGCCCACCCCTGCTCTACCTCCACCAGCCTGAATGTTTAATGTTGCCCAGAGACACTGGCTACTGGCAAGAGTGCGTTATTTCACTTCTTGAGACACCCGAGTAATCCCATGGTCCAAAGTTTTAATTTTACTGCCACGACCAAGGGGAATTTGCTTTTACCTTATACTGCGTAACGTTCCGGTCATGCGGGAAGTGTAGCGTGGATACAAAGAGATGCACAAACTTGCTCTTCAGTCCTTGTTTGTGGATGTTCTCGGCAATAATCTGGCTGACGTAGTTCTTCCCCGTGCCTGCCCAGCCGTGCAGGGAGAGAGCAAGCGGCTTCTTGGGATTGGCGTTGTTCTTGAACCCGACCACTGCCTTCAGGATCACTTCTTTGGCAAGGTGTTGGCCGAAGAGTTTCGTATCCAGAACCTCCTTCAGGGCTGAGAGGAGAACAAGGACGTCAGAAAACGGTTTGCGAACGGAGCGTCAGTCCTCGTCTCTCCGCCTTGTATCTTTAACGCACGAGGAAACGTTGCAGGGGGCTTGGGAACGGCTCCAAGAAAGATCCCGGTCATAGCAATACCTTCACACTTACATCCAGGAGGCTCTTTATGAACACCGACCCAGCTGGTGAAGCGAGCCCTTCTCCCCATTTTAGAGACGGGGAGCCTGAGGCCAGGAGCTCGGTGCTTTCCAAACAGCAGCTGCCAACTGGGAACAGGACCCCCCCCAGTCAACCTCCCGCCCTCTGCTCTCACCACCTGCCTTCTCCCCTCGGAAGGTCCCAAGCAGCGCCCCCACCCCCGGGCTGCCCGGCCCCGGTACCGGTGGCGTTGGGCCGGTCCCCGTCGCGGGGGCAGCACTCCACGAAGCCGCAGTAGAAGCGGGGGTAGGAGAGGTAGCCCGTGAGCGCTGAGGCAGCCCCGATGGCGATGCCCAGGCTGACAGGCTCCAGCGCGGCCGCGCCCCGCAGCACCAGCAACAGCACCAGCAGCTCCCGCCGCCGCGGCCAGCCTGCCCCCCCCCCGACCGGCCGCG